TTTGATATTAGCATAGATACAGAACACTTCCATTTTTTGTAGAAAGTTCAACCGCAGAGCACTGACATACAAGGTATTGACGGCCATGAGAAGGTTTGGACTTTTATTACTAATTTCCAGTCTCCTGACTCTTCAATCCCCTCTCCCTGTTCTTCCCCTGCTGACTCCTGGCTAGACAAATACCTACTTTGAGAACAGAACTTTCTTAGAATTGGGCAAATGGGGCGCTAGAAAGGTGGTCAAGTGGCCTTTTCCTATATGAAAGCATGGTTCACATAGTGCTGTAGAAAAGCACACTAGCTGAGGTCATGTGGATGTTAAAATATTCCCACACAATATGGACAAGCAACAAAATGGACAGGCGCCGAGTGGAAAATCTCCAGAGATTTCTGTCTCCGTGGAGTTGAGCAGAGAATCAGTTGTCTCTGTTTGGGGCACATGCTGTACTCAGACTAGATTGTAAACTAGTGGATGGGCTGGAAGCAGGGGCTTTCAGAAAGTTTATGGTTGCAGGCCTGGTAGTGGGATTACATGATGCATGTCTTCACGCAGTAGGTGGCATGAAACTGGGCTACATATATGCAGTTCAACAATATGCGGGAAAAATAGAATTAAAAGAATAAGAATTTTTCCATGAACTTTTTTAAGTTTTAAAATTCACTTATTATCAATATTATGGACATTTAGGTTTAGGTTGGCAAGTATTCTTTAAGCAATATAAATAAAAAACACATTTGACATATCCGCTGTATCAGCCTTCTCCATATTAGCACTACTCATTAGACTCTTTGCTATGTGCCGTCAAGGCAGTTCTGACCCATGGAGACCCTGTGCACAACAGAACGAACCCCTGCCTGGTCCTGCACCATGCTCACAATTCTTCCTATGCTTGAGCCCATTGCTGCAGCCAGGGTGTCAATAGTCTTATAGAGGCCTTCCTCTTTTCACTGCCCCGCCTCGGTACCAAGCATGGGGTCCTTCTCCAGTCGCTGGGCTCTCCTGACAAATATGTCCAAAGTACTTGACACCGAGTCTCACCATCCTTGCCTCTAAGGAGCACTCTGGTCATACTTCTTCCCAGACCGGTTTGTCGGTGCTTTTGGCAGTCCACGGTACTTTCAGCTTTCTTCACCGGCAACACCACACATTGATCTTCTTCAGACTTTCTTATTCCATGTCCAACTTTCACATGCACGTGAGGCGACTGAAAATACTTTGGCTTGGGTCAGACACACCTTAGTCTTCACAGTAACATCCTTGTTTCTCAACACTCCATAGAGGTTATGCTGCAGAATTAACCCATGAAACGAGTCATTTTATCTCTTGACAGCTGTTTCCATGAGCATTGATTGTGGAGCAAGCCAGTCAGTCATGTCACCACGGTGGACTCTACTTTGAGAAAACTGTTCCTTCTCAGTCACCTTTCAAGGACCTTCCCATCCAAGAGGCCCATCCACTAGCACTATCGCCAACAATGCTCTGCTTCCGTTCATTAGGCCTTGGGTTGTCTCACAGTGTTCCAATGCTATGCATAAGGTTGTCAGTGGCGACCTTTTCCTAAGCAGGCAACTGGTCCCTGCTGGCATCTGAGGTACCACTGACATAGCTTACAGCATCACAGAAACAGACAAGTTACCATAGTCTGACAAACTGACAGACGAGTGATAGTTGTGGTTGATAGCAATTTTATGTTAAGGTTTCTGAGGCTTTGTTCATCTACAGGAGAATACAGCTTCAATACGCTCCTTTGAATTGATGGTGAGTTTGAATTCCAGACCTTTCAGTTAGCAGTCCAAGACCACTTGAAAGTCCCTACTCAGATCAAGCCCCCAAATGAAATCTCCTGGACCATTGACGAGGGATTTCAATAGTCCTGCCCTCAGACAGAGTGTGTTTGAAGGTGGAATACTGAAGATGTTGTTAGGCTACAATTTAATATATTATCATTTGTTTTCTCTCTGGCCCATTTTAATTTGTTCTAATTTCTATTATCTTCTGCTCTTTCTTAGATTGAGTTTTTACTGTTTTATTTTGTTGTCATTGTGGTTTTTGTTTTTCGGTGTGTGTGCGCACATATGATTCTCTTTATAAGAAATCTAGGATACATAAATCAAAGGAGACAGTAACCGTAGATTAATAATGCCGTAGAGAAACAGAGGAAAGATCTAGGAGGCAAAGCTATGGATAGAGAGGTATAAACATAGCTGTGAACTTATATAAATATATTAATTAATAAAAGTAGATGTATTGGCCTGTGTACATATATTTATATGAGAATACATTTGAGGAAG